AAATTTAATAAACGAATTTTAAAAAATGATGTTGCAATCCATCTATCATTTCCCAACTTCAGTCCTTCATGGGGGCATGGAACTGGCAATATCAACTTTTTGTGGAACTTGGAAGTTCTAGAAACATGGAACGTCTTGTTATCAAACACCACATAAACATGGAATTTCTAGCTCCCAGGACCAGAAATTCCAGAAACCAAACATGCCACAAGGCTCTTTACCTTATTTACCATTCATTGTTCATAAAAATAAAGAACACAAAGGAAAATCATTGATTCCAAACATTGCAAAACTACACAAAAAGTATGCACTAAGGCACAATAAAAACATATTAAAGTACATAAGCTGCAGCATTTAGTCAACAGGAACTGGTTGCATCTTCTCGGCTTCGTCCCGAAGCTCTTGAAAGAGGACGGACGACAAATACCTTTCTCCAAAGCTTGGATGAACCGTCTGAGCGCCGATATGAACAATGATATTAATATATATTGTTTCTTCCTCTTTCTGTTTTTTTCTCGTTTTTGGACAAGATAAAATAATTAAGCAAGGCTTAATATGCCAGATTAAAGCTAATTATATAGCGGTCGACATATCAATTTGGGTCAGAGAGATCAAAGGTTGGAAACCTTGAAATTTGTCCTAAATAAGCCAATCTAGCATTTTCTTAAAGTTTAGTTAAATAAGTTGGATAAAAAAAGTCTTAACAGATGATAGAAATGATGAACATATTGAGAAAGTAGGTAAATAGACTTTTGTTCATATAAATGTCTTCTTAAAATGAAGGGTAGTTTGGTCATTTTAATAATGAATAGGTGTAGTTTTTGTGGAAATTTTTGGGTTGTGTTGCTGAGGAAAACATGTGATGGTACATTGAGATATAGGTGTTACAATCAGTTGTGAGTCATTGTTTTTATATAGATGTTAGAGTCGCTTGTGAGTAATTTTTTGTAATGAAAAAATAAATAATAGTGTTTTGTTCATCTTGAGAAACTTGGCGCTCTCTCTCCAGGGTCTTTTGAAATTTATAGAAATTCATCTAATTTGTACTTTATCTCCCTATATTTTTTATATCACACTATTAATTCCAATACTATATATTTTTATTAATTCCAATACTATATATTTTTATGCTCATTTTTCAAGAAAAATAAGTTAATTTTTTGAACCAAAATACCCTTCCATTTTAATCCATGTTTCTAAAATGTTCCAAAATGTGACGCCCAACATGTGCATACAAAATGTATACAATCGGCTTCTGAAAAAATTGCCGATCTGACGCAAAATGTGCCGGACCGGCCTCTATTATTCAAATTTTGCTGGTCTGGCACAAAATGTGTCGAACCAATTTGTATGGAAATCCCGCTGGTCCAACACATTTTGTACCAGACCAACTTCTATATTCAAATTGTGCAGGTCTGACACAAAAGCTCAGAGAGAGGGAAAGTGGGAAATGTGGGTTAAAAGTGAACTTTTTTGCTTTTTTGGGGGTTGAGGGGAGGGTAGAGATAGAAATATAGGACCCTTGGCAACTCATAAATAAGAATTATAATGCATGGATTATAGAAAAACTCATACCACAATGAGTTTGCCCTTGTTCTCAGGCATGCTTGCAAGCCTGAGTGCCGCTACCGTATTGGCTCCTGATGAAATACCAACCTGCAAAGCCAATGCATGCTCTTAATTCTATTCACACCAAACTCTATTACTCAATCACTCAACTCTCTGCTGTAGTTACTAGAAAGAGAGTAAAACTTCAAGGCTGAGTTCAAACTGCGCCACTTCAATAAGTATTCATAATTCATGGTTTTACAGCACAGAATGGAAAAATATACACTTAGATTTGCTTTTTGGTGGAAGGTCACAATCATTCTGCACTATTGGATGTGAAATCGGGTAGTTGAGAATGTACCATTGACCATGTTGAATGTCTAAATTCTTTTCTTTTCTTTTCTTTTTTTAACTTTATAACATACCTTGGATCATCTAATTTTATATTCGATGGCGAGGGGCGAGTGATCGTGACCTCTTTGTATTGAAGTTAAATGGTCAAATAGTATAAAATCCTCGAAAGAGAAAAGAGTTTTTTATGCTAGTTATTTCCATTTTAACACTTTCCACATCTTTAGGTTCAAGATCGAAGACGAACAGTGTGGCAGAAATATTCCCCTACAAGAGTAGAAAAATAGTCAAAGATTCCAATTCCTGGTCCTCCCAAACTCATCCTAAAGGTATTCGTGCGAGAATCTATACTATGATCCACATGATCACAAAAAAAATTTGTGGCATTAAGGTTCAACAAGGATGGAGAGAGATGGACACAGAGTGGGCCCAACCACTTGATTCATGTCTTCCAGTAATAGGGTCCCATTCTCTCTCAATCACCACCCATCATTGATTGGTTGTAGGCTTGCGATGGGTCTGGCGGCCCAGTCCTGGCTCTAAAAACTATGACCTGGGCCGTGCCACTATGGCCTTGAGGGCTGGGTCGGGTTGGGCCAGGGCCAGTTTGGTTCAGCCAAACTCGATCCCTTTTTTTCTTTTTTCTTGGGTTGTATTTGGCCCAATCTGTCCCAGCCTGCCAGGGTTGGGCTTGGGCCAAGGCCTCCTTGGCCCAGTTAGGGCCCGGCTAAGCTAGGGCTGGCCTTGTAGGGACTAGGGCCAAGCTAGGGCCAGCCCTAATTGGATGGTGAAGATGCACATGACCATAGAGTTTCAATACTCATATATATTAGCATGTCCGTATGGAAGTATGCTTGCACTGCACAGAAATACAAACAATTGAATTTAAAATAAAGGGGTTCAGAAAACTAAATAAAATGAATTACCATAAGGCCCTCTTTGAGGGCTAATTCCCTGGCCATTTTCACAGCATCTTCACTAGACACCTGCTCAAGAAAAAGTAAAACCAGGCTTAAAAGATAATCTAGGTATTTAAAACTAATGATAATGAAGATTTGGTTGACTGGAAAACATTGAAGAGTTGGTTACTTACCTCAAGAACAGCTTCCAAAACATCCATATCCAATATTCCTGGTTTGAACCCAACTCCAGTTCCAGTGATGAGGTGTGGACCTGTCCAATTGCATTTGAAAAAATTGGAAAACACAGAGAAAAAAAGACACAATACTTGTCTAATTGATTTACATGGTTGACAGAGAGAGCCTAAATCTAATCAATGGCTAATAACTTGGGAGTATAACTCACCTGGTTTACCACCATTTAGGATATTGCTCTCTGCAGGCTCAACACCATAAATCTGCATCACCAGAGATCCCAAATAAACACATATACACACTAACGTTACATTCTTCAGAGAGGGAGAGAAAAAGAAAAAGGCATTAGATCCTCGTCCCATACACTAACGTTACATTCTTCAGAGAGGGAGAGAAAAAAAAAAAGGCATTAGATCCTCGTCGCATTGTTGCCAGAAGGAGAGAAATGAGCCAAGTATTAGTTCCTCGTTGCGTCGTCCCGAAAAAGAGAGAAATGAGACATATAGATGGAAAGATAAAGATATTCTCTTGAGACAGGGATGACTAGTGCTAAGCTAATAGTACTGCTTAGTTACCTAAATGTTCAGTGGAAAAGATCAATTGAGATGGCCAACACCAAGGAGATTTTGATAGTGTGTAGTTGCCACTATGTACAGTAGAAAAATCCATTGGGTTACTGAAGTAATATTGATAGTGTCTGGTTGGCAAAATTCTGAAATCCCCAAATGTCCCTCCAACAGGCCGGGACCAGGCTGGGCCACGGTTGGCCTGGACCCAGCCTGAACATCTATGGCTAGGACCAGGTCGGCCTTCTAGGGCTACCCGAGCTTGGCTTGAAGCCGGGATTTGACTGGAGTCCTGCTGGATGGTCAGGCCGAAATGGAAGCCTACACTATAGGGTCTCTAGTAGACTGTGTTTGGGCTGGGCCAGGCCCAGCATGGGTCCCTCAAACTTCCACAACTAGGGTCAGCCTCGAATAATTTAAGCAAGGCTAAACCCTGCCCCTGCCCGAGGTCTCTTACCGTTATTTATGCCCGGCCATAAGGCCCACGGGTCAGCCAAGCTGGTTCACACAGCCCTATTCATGAAGGAGAATCAATACATATATTACACTTTAATCCTCTTGGAACAAACAAAACAAAGTACTAACCTTGACATTAGGGTTTTGTGATTTGAGGTATCTTCCTACACCAGAGACAGTGCCTCCACTCCCAATTGCCATTACAAAAATATCAACTTGCCCAAGAGTATCCTCCCATATCTCAGGTCCTGTAGTCTCAAAATGCACCTAGAATGCAAACTTCCATTATTATCAAATTCAATCAATGAAAATAGTAATCCCAATTGAGTTTTTTTCTAGTTTATAGTTACCTTAACATTAGAAGGATTCTCAAATTGTTGAAGCATGAATGAATTGGGGGTTGATTCATGCAATTGAGTGGCTTTCTTGACTGCACCTCCCATACCCTTTGTGGGATCAGTGAGTACCAATTCGGACCCGAACACTCTCATGGTCACCCTCCTCTCTAAACTTGTGTAAGAGGGCATGGTCAATATGAGTTTGTAACCTTTCGATGCCGCGATGAAAGACAGCCCGATCCCCATGTTACCAGAAGTCGGCTCGATCAAAATCGTCTGTATCTCATTTGAATTAAACAGATTAAGACATATAATCTTCCCTCCTTTCCAAGGTCACACGCACTATACTACAAGAAACACAATGCATGTCTTATCATTGGACACGGATACGTGTAAACTCCAACTACATAATTGACTTTTCGGAAATAAGGCATCGGTATATCGTTTAGCTATATTTGAAGGTGGGATTTTTAGCCGACTTTGATATTTTTATAGTAAGAATTCATCTAGAAAACTTAAATGGATAAATTTGAAATTCTAAAGTGTCAAACATAAGTATCATATTTATATAGTATCGATATACACCGAAAACTATAACCAAGAAAACTATAACCAAGCATGTCCATATTACATATCAGTTAGGATATTTTTCTCTTATGATTTTTACTTCATGAAAAAAGACATAAATCTTCCCTACACTCTGCACAACGAAGAGTACAGATTTGTTTCTCTTAAAATTTTACTTTTCAAGAAAAATTTACATAATCTCCCCTTTACTCTTCACAACACCATTGCGCGTTAGCAAAGCCACACGCTAAGACAAAATAGATATTTCAAATTTAAAACTTTAACTCATTATTTAAAGGCCGTGGGTTGTAAGGAAAAGTCCAACAAAATGACTATTTTGCTCAATAACAAAGGGAATAGGTAAGGATGGCAACAGGGCCGGCTTGGTCCGTGCCAGCGTTGGCCCTGGCGCAACCCTTTTCCCGTAGGGCCAGACTAGGCCAAAAACAAATGAGAAAAAAATAATAGAAAAAGCGAAAAAAGAGGGCCGCACCGACACTGACCCGAGCCCTGCCCTCAGGCCACAGTTTGTGGCCTGAGCCCTCCTTTTTTGAGGGCGGACCACTCTGTCCATTCCCAACCGTAGGAATAGGTAATTTTGTCTTGTAAATTTACCAACTTTTTGTGATTATTCAGAAATTCAAGTGGAAGAGGAGGTGATTGGTACGTTAAAGAGGGACACATTTTTATTTTAATAGTATTATTTATAAACAAAGGCTTGTCTTAAAATATTTGGGCCACTTGCTCCTCGTACTTATATTGAAATTGTATATTCACAATAATGCCACAATCACTTTTAACCCATAAGATAACCCATAAGATATCACATCAGGCTGAGATTGTGCACTGGCACAATCACTTTTAGCTTATAAGATATAATTTGGGATCGTACACTGTAAAATCATTTACTAGTGGTACAAAAAGGTTGAAACCACTCCTCACCAATCAAATATAAAATACAAGTAGGTAAGGTAAGTAAGAGTGTGACACATAGTTTGAAAACATTCTATGGCACAATCCTAAGCATCTAATTTATACATGGGATTGTATATAAATATAAAATATAAGTAGGTAAGGTAGGTAGGAGTGTAACACATAGTTTGAAAACATTGTATGGCACAATCCTAAGCATCTAATTTATATATGGTATTGTATATAAATGAGTCAATTTATCTTTGATATGTAAAAGTTACAATTACTAATAACAATTCGATGTGAAATCTAATAGCTAAAGTGCGTCATAAAGTTTGAAAAAATTTCTTTTGAACTTTGAACTTGGTCAATGAAATATATGCAGCCACCCAATTTTATATCCAATAGTCAAGATTAATTGAGATGACCTTGCCCAAAGGTAAATGGTATCATTATATACTTTCTATTTATATATGCACGGTTTGTATAGAACCTAGGCTCTAAACAATCAAATTAGAGCCCACCTTCAAATGATGTAGAGAAACGTAGTTTCAATATTGCAAATCTTTGTGATAGCCTTAAAATATATTTTCATATTTAGTTATAAAATTTAAAGCTTAAAAAATAGTGTAGATAGAGCAAAACTATGAAAACTTGAAAATCTTAAAAAGTGATGGCCCAAAAATGCATTACAATATGTACTTTTTTTCAAACTTGAAATCCATTTTTTTCTCATGTCCATGCATCTTGATGTTGAGATGATCAATTTGAGGATATTTAGACATCAAAACAACATCTTCTAGTGAAATTTTTTAGATAGGCTCTAATTTGATTGTTTAGAGCCTAGGCTCTATATAAATTTTTTCTTTAGATATATATATATATATCACATGATTTATATCTGAAGCTATGAGTGATTGCGACCTTCATGTGAAAGCCAAATGCAAACAATATTATATGCTTATTTGTTTTACTAAATTGCTTTCTGCCTTTTGCCTTTTAGTGTAGAACTCTATACCTTGTCAGGTGATATCAATTTCTTCTTTTCCGCGTCTTCTATCATGGCGATGCCAACCCTGGTATGTAGGATAAAATTTATATGGTTCATATTTATATCAAAACGTAAATTCATTTAATAACTAGCTAAACTCTAGAGTAAGGGTGGCAATGAGCCGGACCTAAGCCGAACCAGCCCGGGCCTTGGCCCAACCCTTGTCCCCGTAAGGCCAGACCAAGATAGGCCCTAACCTTATTAGGGGCAGGCCAAAAATAAATAAAAAAATAATAAAAAACAAAAAACAAAAAAAGAGAAAGGGTTGGACCTAGCCGAACCGGGACAGTATTAACCCTAGCCCGGGCTAGCCACAGTTTGTGGCCCAGGCCCTATGTTTTTAGGGCCAGGCCACCCATTGCCGGCCTAAAAGAACTATTTATAAGTCTTTATAGTTTGTAGAGTGTGACCTTAGTAGGAGTCACAAATTCAGTACGCGTGAGAAACACGTAAAAATTACAGGAGTGTGTGCGATGAACCACATAGGCATAGAAACTCCATGGTCCTAAGTTGAATCACCATACAATCGATGGATAAACAATCATGAAGAGGGCGTGGAACCCACAAGACCAGAGATGAACCAAGCTATAGGTCCCACCCTCTGTCCATTGCTGTTGCTTCATTGATCTAACGGTTATGAGACTTTGGAAACTAGATTATCACATCGGGAGCGTGTAATCTTTGGCTATGGACTATATATACCTATCTTTGATGCTGCAACAAGGCCAATCATGAAGAGGGCGTGGGACCCACAAGACCAGAGATGAACCAAGCTATAGGTCCCACCCTCTGTCCATTACTGTTGCTTCATAGATCTAACGGTATGAGACTTTCGAAACTAGATTATCATATCGGGAGCATGTAATATTTGGCTATGGACTATATATACCTATCTTTGATGCTGCAACAAGGCTGCATCATCTCCAATTTGGCAGCAATGTGAGCCCCACAACCTTCGCTGACTTTGTTGAGATAAACAAGAGGGGTTCTTCCAATCACCTAAAAAATAATAGAATTTAATAAATACTCTTTCCACTCATAATTAAATCAATTAAATTTGACAACTATTTTAAAATAATGATTTATAAATCTTAGCTAAGGGATTTATTGGGATTTAATAACTAAAGATATGGGATTTAATAGAGCAAAATGGCCGACTAAGATTCGTTAGGAGGACCTCAATTAATTGTAAAATGACTATAATGATGATGATGAATTTTTTTGATAAATAAAAAAAATAAAACCCCTTGCGTGAAAATTATCAAAATATTCTCTCTTACTTTTTTTTTTCCCACTATAGTACAAAAAAATCAGCTTATTTATTAAATCGAAAGAGAAAAGGTTCAAGGTATGGCTACGTAGGAAACACTGGCCTGTTCGAACCGGACCGGGCCAGTTATTGGCGGGTTCAGGGGTTCTAACCACCACAGGTTGGACCCCTTACCTGACCTGCCCGAGTAGGCCTCCCACTTGGGCATTGTCTCGACTACCAGGCCATGTTTTCTTTAACCCAGTTTGGTTTCCTACCCGGTTAAGGCCGGGGTTACTCGGACCTGGTGTGCAGAACCGCCTAGCTTTGTTCCTCTTACTTCGCTCATGGCTCGCTCAGTGCTTACGATACTCGGCCTGGCCCAGGAGCAGTTCCACTCCCGGTTCGGGCTTTCCTACACTAATCTACTCAAAATCTAAAAATGGAAATTTTGCATTAAAAAGAGGACAAAATCTGTGAAATTAAACTTACCTGAGACACATTTTTTTTTACATTAAGTCTAGCAAAATCCGTTAGTTCCGGGTGCGCCAGCTCTTGTGGCGAGAGTCGAGGTTGAGAAGCCAAAAAAGGATAAGTGCTCATAGACCTCATAGCCTTTGAACCACACCTTCTCAGCCTTCCCATGGCGGCCATTTTTTCTCTCTACTTTCCTTCTCTCTCTACTTTTCCTCCTTTGATGTACATGCTGGCCATGAGGAGCCCATCACTCATATAGAGAGTGAGAAATGCCGCCAATGACATTTAGAGAGAGAAAGTGTGGATGTGAGCCTCATTCTAGAGTGAGAAAGGGCAGCACATATCCAATGAACTTGACAAATAAGTCCTAATCCATTTCAAAAGTTGCCCAAAGGCCAAGCAACTTTTGAGCGTCCAAAGAGATAAAAAAATTATGCATGTTTTGTACAAGGAAAAAGCTTATGTAGAGCCGAAGCACTAAACAATCAAATTAGAGCCCACCTCAAAATTTTTACTAGAAGAGATGTTTTGATGCCCAAATATCCTCAAATTGATCATCTTGACATTAAGATGCAAGGACATGAAAAAAAAATAGATTTCAAGTTTTGAAAATAGTGTATTTTATATTATATTTTTTAACCGTCAATTTTCAAAATTTCATAGATATACTCGATCTACACTATTTTTTAAGCTTCACATTCTATAATTAGATATGAAAATATATTTTTATGCTATTACAAGGATTTCCAATATTGAAATCACATGTCTCAATACTATTTGAAGGTGGGCTCCGCTTTGATTGTTTAGAGCCTCGGCTCTATACAAACCGCACCCTTTCTATGACCAAAGTTATTTTTCCTTTTGGGAAGAATGAAGCCACCCATAAATGCATGAAGGACGGATACCAAGAAAAGATTCCCAATACTATATGTTTTTTTTAGCATTACCCACGACTGTACATTGAATTGGCCTACTTAATTTTATCCAAAGCCCGGAACATGTAGCCTCCAAGGGTAAATAGCTCTAGGCGTGGCAATGGACCCGGACCAAGACCCGACGGGTATTTCCGACCTGGGTCTAAGTATGGGTTGAAAATTTGGACCATGCAGGTCGGGTCCATGTCCAAATATTGGAACCGAACGCTGTTTGGGTATGGGCTCGGGTAGACCCGATCAAACCCGAATAGTTATGATATTTAAATAATGCATCTATACAAACATATTTATGAAATATATCTAAAGATATTTATATATAAATATTTTGGTTCTTGAGTCGGGTTAAGTCAGTGTTTGGGGACTCTGGGACCTGGTCGGGTCCAGGTCCTATAATATATTTTCAGCTTAGATCCGGTCAACCCCTCATATATAGAGAGAGAGAGAGATTTTTAAAAAAAGCTTTATTATTCATTGGGATTGAGCATGGGAGGCTTATTTCGCATGTCCCTATGAATGAAGCATCCTATGTTTGAGATCGAAGTACATGATCTTTCAGTGCTCATACATGGACGGTTCAGATCTTTGATCGCCTATTCTTTATTTCTATATATATGAAAATTTCCCTTGCCTTTATTATGACATGGATTCTCCTGTACATTGATGCTTGTGTTTTGCCTAATGAAAGAAATCAAGGGATTTTTCAAAATAAAATTAAAACAAACATCAAGGTTTCGTGCCCACTATGATTTTCTCAAAATATGAGTCCAATGAAAACAACCAGTAAACATTAGATACATGCGACCCACCCTTAATTTTCTGGCAAAGAACATTTGCAAAGTGGTGGAATGGATATAGCATAAAACATATATATATATTTTCATCATGGCCTGATGTGAGATTTGATTTTATGTTGCTAAATGCATGCATTTGTCTCCAAAAGAAGAGTCCTTACACATTTTGACAACCGCCTGACAAAAAGCATCTTTTTTACTGATAATTATTTTCTATATTCATAGATGACTGATTTTTTCTTTTTTTTTCTTTTGTTTTATTTTTTTGGCTTTAATATTTGCCACTGCATTAGGCTATGGGGACTTGGCCATTGTTCATCCACTTGGCCTACATTAGGATTTGAGGACGTCCCTCTAATATTATTTTTTTTCAAAAAAATAATAAGTATTATTTTTTTAATAATAAAAATAATAAGCATTATTTCAAAAAGAATATCATCCGCAAAGCTACGATCTTTTGAAAATGAAATTTTATATTGTCATAAAACGAGAACCGGTGTTATGTGGGTATGGAGGACATGATGTGATGTTTGTACTTTCATAATAAAAGAACATAAGCACTTTCAAACGCACAATTAGAGACTTGATAGCTACGTTGCTTATATAAATCCAGACCACCATATAGTTTGGGCTCTAGTCATGGTGGTAGTACATCTACATCTTAGTCCCAACTTTGTGGCCTCTATTCATATTGTTATTGTCTTTTAACACCTTCAAAAAACTAATTCTTAAACTATTTGAAACAATGGGTAAAGACTTGTCTTTCCCACATAATTACCTCGAAAAAAATGGAGTGGCTTAAACTTAATTTTGACATAAGTGTTCAAGGGAGCCAAGGGAAGCAAGAATAGACGGGTTTTTGAGATACAATACCTATTCCATTATAATATCCTTTTTAGGTCCCATGGGATGCCACATAATTAATGAAATAGAACTAGGGTTCTTAAGCCAGGATTAACATGTAACTCATCCACCTTTAGGAGGATTATGACCAAGGGGATTTGCACAAACCAGCCCAAAAGGCCCCTATGGAAATTAGCCCAATAATTGAGGAAGTAACATGGTTACTGCTTGATGGAGATGATCAATTTAAACACATCAACAGAGAGAGAAATCAGGAGTTGGACGCCCTGTCGAGGCAGGGGCGTTAAAGGACTTAATGGGGATTATTTAGTTGTAATTGGAGGAAGATGAAGATCTTGTTCCCTTGAACCAAAGTCCACAGTTACCGACGACATGTTTGCCGTCAGTTGACCTTTTATTTTGTTTTTTTTTACCTTTTCTATTTCTCTTTTCTTTTCCGCCTCGCCTTTCTTTTTATGCATCCCCTGAAAGAAAGACCTATGTGATCTTTTGTTGGGGAATACATTTTTTTTATTTTATTTTTTTCACCCTTTTCTATTGGCAAAAGATCACTTACATGTGATCTCTATTATAATAAGATAAATTTCAAAATAAAATCAACATAATAATAAAACCAAGATCTTAACAACTTGATGCCATCGAAACAACTATGCACTATGCTTAAGAATAAAAGATAAGATTGCAAGAAACAAAAGGAAGAATGTCGGAGATTACCTCAATCGGGCTTATTACACCCCACACCGAGTCACTACCATCCGATGGGCCGGGATCAACGGTCTAGCTTCAATCTCGAACCAAGAAAGTAAATTTCGGTCAAGCCACTCCAATAGACCATGAACTCCTTTGACCACAAACTCAAATTCTAAGTGAATTCTCTTAGCAACCTAGTTTGAGAGAGATGTATTCTTATTTTGCTAAACCCTAAAAGCCTTAGTCATAAATCCATATTTGAGAGATAGGAGATAGAAGAACTCCATAACCTAAACCCTTAGGTTATTTCACACTGTGGGAAAGAGAGATCAAACATGAGAGATATAAACTTTCTTAAGAGAGAGAGAGGTATAAAGATAAAGTATAGAGATTTTTGATAGAGACAATCCCTTTTTATAGGCTTCGAATAAAATTAGGGTTTCTTAGGGTCTTCTTTGGCTTGTCTCTTTTTGTGAGATTGAACGTAGACCGTCGATCAAGGGTGACTTGTGGGGTGAGAGATCTGAGTTATCCATTTCATAGATGGGTCATCAACATTATGAAAGGTGCATGAACCATTATCCTCCTTTCCTAAACCATTTTCCCATAAATAAATTAAATCTAATCAAAATATTGTGCATACCATAAAATAGCACAAGTTTACTCAATCTTTCCACAAAATCTTTCAAAGATATATCAAGTCAGTATTTAGTCAATATCTTCCAACCATATGGCCACATGTCATATCACCAAAAAAGTAGGAAAGAGAATAAAGGTGGGGCGTGCCACCCAAGTGAGGCACTCATGGGCCCCACTTTCTAAAAACATTGCTGGCCCATGTGCACAATAGGTCCCTATGATATTTTTATATATTTAAAATTAATAAAATAATTTTAGAATATTATTTGAATATTTAATCAATTATAAAAGCAATATCTTTAATTTTAAAAATCTAAAAATTATAAATAAAATATCCAATTGTTCATAAAAATTCAACTAATAATCTTAAAGTAATTGTCATCATAAAACAAACACAATTAAATTAATTTGATGGGAAAATAATCCATATGGTTTAGGAATCAACAATCATGGGGCACTCCACCTTCAACTATGGATTACAGACCACACTTGCTTTATCAGACCGACCCAGTGTTTTTCATGATTCACAGTCCAAGTAGGGGCTAATTAACGGGTCACCAAAATCTGACAGATGAGTCAAGGGGTCACAATCCTAGTTTGTAGATTACAGGTCTTTCCTTAGAGACAAGTCAAGGTCACGAAGACCTTATGCGACCACAGCTCTATGACGCATAGGGGTATCTCTCGCACATGCATACGCTGTGGATTTCTAGCTTTCCCGAACGATCTATCGATATGCCTGCCGTGTGATGGTATATGGATGAGGTTTTGGCCCCTGTCTCTGTAGGCCACCATCACACATAAGGGTGGGTCACACAGTCCTTCGGCTCACTTATCTGGGCATGTTCTCCGACCTCATCAAGGACTAACCCATAAACCCTCATCAGTTTGTTCTTTATGCCCAAGTAACATGGGTTTTTCCCAAACGACTGCCCTAGATCATCAAGCACAGTCTAGTATCTGCAAACATCGTTTGCTTAGTATGGCCTACGAGGGACCACACTCCCACTGAGTTCATGTTCCACTATATCATTTCATTTTACAAGTACTCATAAGGCTTTTAAAGGCCACATGAACCCAACATCTCCCACTTGGCCTTTGAAGGCCTTACATTCTCTCTTTCTCACTTTCTCTCGTTCTCATCTCTCTCTCCCAATTACAATTTCTCTCAAGCATTTTTACTTATTCTCTCAATACATTGATCATGGCTTTCGCCATCAATCCTTTCACAAAAAGATTTTTAGAGGCAACACATTTTTCTCTTTGCTGCTCGGATTTCATCCAAAAAATGGTCGTAGCTCATCTTTCACATCGTATCGTGAATCA